TGCGCCTCGGCCCTCGCCCGCTCCTGCCGCTCGGCCTCCAGCAGGTGAGCCAGCGCCCGCGCCAGCTCCTGCACCGCACCCGCCGCCTCTCCTCGGGGCACTGCCCGCCGGAAGCGGCGGGGAGGGCCAGCCTCAACCAAGGGCGGCGACGCTGCGCTCAGGCTGCGGGGCTCCTGCGGGAAAATGAGGTAGGGGAAAAGATGCCAGCGTCTGTCAGGCCACGGACCCCAACCTGGGAGGCTCTGTGAGCCTCAAACTTCCCAGATGCCACCAAAGGCATTGTACCCCCCAATATACCAGACATCCCTAAGGCCACTGGAAACCCTCAAATATCTCCAGACACACAAGACCACTAAAGACCCCCAGACATCCCCCCTCTCCCAGTGATCACTTAGTGACTCTCAGAACTTTCCCCCTGAACCAGTGAAGACCAGGTTCCTTTATAGGAGTGGCACTGGTAAACATCACAGCTGTAGATTTTTCTAAATTAATATTGTGGACAACAGGAACCTCTATGAATAATCCTGTTCATATATTATTTGGCATGCGTGCAAGTGTATCTGTAGACTAAATCACCCATTGACAAATTTCCAGTACTGGCAACTTTGAAATAATTTCCACAAGTTTAAAGAAACAAAAGTAGATGCAAGGACCAAAACACCATAAAAAAATGACCATGAAGATTTGAAAAAGAAACATACAGAACATATAGAAATATATTTAAGAGGAATGATGCCTGTGACTCAAATAGTCAATAAAAGATGACTATACAGAATGTACAAAGAATTCTTAAAAAGCAATCAGAGAAAAGCAACCACGTACAAAAATGGACAAAACACATAATCAGGTATCTCACAAAAATGGTTATGAAACATGTGAAAAATAGTCAACCTCTTAGTAATCAGGGAAAAGCAAATTAAAATGCCAGTTGTGGTTGCTCACACCTATAATCCCAGCACTGGGAGGCAGAGGAAGGAGGATTGCTTGAGCCTAGGAGTTCCAGACCAGCCTGGGCAACATGGCAAGCCCTTGTCTCTACAAAACATAGATAATTTTTGAAAATAACTGGGCATGATGGTGTGGGCTTGTAGGTCCAGCTGCTTGGAAGGCTGAAGTGGAAAGAACACCTGAGCCCAGCGGGTTAAGACTGCAATATTACAAATAGTGCTTCTGTAATCTTTCATGAACTTGTGTTCGGTAGTACATGAGCTGGTCACTGCACTCCAGCCTGGGTGACAGAGTGAGATAGAGGAAAAAAAAAAAGATACACATATCCTATGACCCACTCCTGGGATGTCACACTTCAGAGTAGCTTTTGCTTATGTACTACCAAACACAAGTTCATGAAAGATTACAGAAGCACTATTTGTAATATTGTAACAGAGGGAGGAGGGAGAGAAAAGCCTGCAAACAACCCAATGTCTACTGAGACATTGAGAATGCATCTATAAACCATGATATATTCATAGACTATAATATTATGCAGCAATGAAATAAATGAATTCTAGCCATACACTTCAATATGGATGAATCTCATGATCAAAGTAGAACCAAAAAAAAAAAAAAGTTCCAGAATCCCACTGCAAACTGCCTGAGACTATCAAACACCCTGAGGATTTCCTAGTGACCTCTAGTGACTGCAAGGAGTCATTCATCTGGTATGATTACATTTCTATGATGTTCAATAGCAAGAAAAACTAAACAACAGATTATTTTGAGATATATAGGTATATATGAGGCCGGGTATGGTGGCTCATGCTTATAATCCCAGCACTTTGAGAGGCAGAGGCGAGAGGATTGCCTGAGCCCAGGGGTTCGAGACCAGCCTGGGCAACTTGGTGACACTTTGTCTCTACAATAAATCAAAAAATTAGCCGGGCGTGGTGGTGTGGGCCTGTAGTCCCAGCTTCTTGGAAGGCTGAGGCAGAAGGATCGCCTGAGCCCAGCAGGTCGAGGCTGTGGTGAGCCATGAGCACGCCACTGCCCTGCAGCCTGGAAGACAGAGACTCTGACTCCAGAGAGAGAGAGAGAGAGAGAGAGAGAGAGAGAGAGAGAGAGACATATGTGATAAGCTACAAACAAAAGTAAGGGGTCCACGGACAGAACATCTGGGATAATGACTATGGGGAAAAGAAGCTGTCTGCGGAGGGCAACCCAGGGGTTTCTAACTCTTGGTCATGCTGTATTTCTTAAGCTGAGTGGGGAGTACTCTTTACATTGCACATCTATATTAAATACATTGGTAAATATATATATATATATATATATATATATATATATACACTAACTATTTTTAAAATCTCCCATCCTTGATGCAGACAGCTCTGGAGAGCTAGAGGAGAATGCTGCTCCAAGGGCCCTTGCTTGGTGCCCACCATCCCGCAGCCCGGGAATCACCGTCACCAGCAATCACAGCTTCGCACAAACTAATGTAGACTGACAGGCCTTCAGATGCCACATACACAGCACAACACCCACATTCATATGCGAGGAACTGCACACATTCACATCGCGGCTGCTCATGCGGTTACACTCGCCAAGCCACCCGCGAGCAAGGACACGCACCATTCTTAAATGCAGCACCGAGACATCATGGCTCCTCACTCCACGATGACACAGCTCCACAAACAAACAGAGAGACATCCTCATGAACACACATACAAAATCTCAGGGACTCAGTCCAACAGAACCAACACAGAATGTGCACATGGAGATGCAGACATTCCCTCCCAAACAAAATCGAAATCACACACATACACACACAGAGAAAGACACGCCCATGGGCTACGCCGTCACACCTAAGGAATCACAAATACACACACGATGTCACTGAGAATCAGGCCCACAGAAAAGTCACACACAGAAGCACCTACAGTGTCACACACAATACACACCTGGACACGAAAGGGCACCTTTGTAGGATGCTTGGAAGCGATCAAACTAAAGGACACACGCAAGAACATGACACCTGCACACCGTTGTCATCAAACCACACGCACGCAAACCGATGTGCGCACACCCTTCCCAGTGCCATGGACAGCGCCACAGGCCCGGGGTGCGGCGGGGTGGGCAGGACGCTGCTACCGGCTGAGCCCCGACAGCGTCACCCTCACCCTCACGAGCAGAGACCCAGCCCGATCTCTGGCGCGCGGGCATGGCCTGGGCGCAGACAGGCGGCCAGAGCTCCCAGGCTACCCTTGCTGGTCTCTCCGGATGTCCCAGCAAGGGCGAGGCAGCACGGCC